CTAGGGATTAAGGTCGTGACAACTCTGAATTCACCCTAAAGATCTTTAAAGCTGTAAAGAGAGGGGTGGGGTGAGGTTGAAGGACTCAATTGTCATGTCCAGGGGCATCTTTGGAAAGTCAAGAGGACCTGGTCAAATGTTATGTGATTTGAAAATATCTATCTAGGCACATGAACTCAGATTGCTTATCTTATTCTAGGGCATATGTTTGACCATCACCAGTAGTCATATATTGCACCTAAATGGTTAACACAAGTTCAATGTTTCTTTCCTAATGCACAAGTCTCAACAGCTTTTCCACCAAGATATATGCAACATACCACATACAGATTGCAGTTTCCTTTCCGATATCTGAAGGAACTACTATAAATCAGCGTTTGTTGTATTGATTGCCATAGCAATCAATATTAAACCTTGCAGGCATTTTCTTTCTTTCTTTGTTTCTTCAGATTAAGAGAAAATTAAGATACTATATGTATTTTGACATTGGTGTTGCATCAGACACACGTCAACATTTATGGCAGTTATGAATGCAAGTAATTATCAAAAGAAGGCACCAACCGGGAAGGCTATGTAGCACCATCAAATGTGCGGAATAATCAGAGGGTGCTAAATATAACCAAGGATGCTAATATGAGAACAGAAACGCATAAAGCGAACGATATTAAAAGTATCCGATTCACCAAGAATTCTATCGAGGGACAAGCAACCGTGGGGGATGGTAAAAAAAAAAAAAAGACATGCTCGTCCTGGAAGTCAGGACATTCAACAAGGATATGCACGACTGTAAGAGGAACAATGCAATTTGGACAATAAGGAGCAGGGTTACGAATGTAAGCTAAATATCTGAATGACTGCAGTGGCAAGAGATGCCAATTCCTTTCAGCCTTGTACAAAATAGTAACTAAGTACTGTATACAAGACCAGTTAAACATTGGTATCATCGAGTCTCCTTCACCTTCTTTGGTATACTTTAATTTGAATTTTATTAACATAGGGCTACCGTAACCATAGTCTCATTCTCATGCATACAAACACATGCCAAACATAGAGGGCTTTGGAGGCAAAGCGTGCCAATCCCTTTTAGCCTTATAAAAATTAGTCAACAGAGACCAGGTAATATTTATTAATACCAGTACCCTGTACTCGTAAATTTTGAATATCAGTTGTACAGTTTATAGGGCTACCATGGCCATATTCACATGTACACAAGAAAGACGAAAAGGAATGGTGAAATTAAATTTTATTATATTTTCCTAATAATTTACCACATTTTATTGACAGGAGAAGCATTAACAGGCTTTCCAGAGTAAGTGGTAACAACTGCATATCAGTACAGTGCAACCTCAATTCAACGAACTAAATGGGACCAACTCCCAATTTCTTGCAATAAGGGATGTGTTGCAACAAGAGATACCTCCTGGAGGCCCGTATTTATGTATGAAAATTGGAAAATCTCAAAATAGAAATGAACCAAAGAATTTTGTTTTAAATATGCTCAATGGCTTTCCCAAGGCCCCCAACACTCTTCTAATCTTATGTTCATCTGTGAAAATCATTAAAAGGCGAGTGGAGCCCTATTAAGAATGTCACTATTCATATCCTTTATTTCCCATGCTCTAGGGGTTGATTTTACTAAGAAAATCAATAATTTTAACTTGATATGACAGGGAACTTTTCTACCAGTTTAAACCCTGTCCCAACATCCTAAGCAAATCCGCACATCCCCTGCATCACTGAACTCTTGTTCGAAGAATCGGATGAGTAAATCTGGCCTGGAAAGTATGTTCCAACTGGAGATTCACTGAATCGAGGTTACACTGTACTTCAAAATTTTGCTAACTTATAAATAGCTGTAGCCCATAACATAAGTTGGTTTCTTATGGTCATTACAAATACCTCTAAGTCAACTACAGGCTCACCATAGCCTATGCTGCTTGGAACTATTGTTCCAAGTATTGTTGGAACTATTGTTCCAGGTAACTAAATCTAAAATAACAACAAATACCTGTACTCCAAGTGGCAAATTTTTATTATTCTCATTAATATATATTAGGATTCACCGATTCTCTAAATCTCCAGAATTATAATATTTACACACCACATTGTTGGCAATTCCATTAGTGACAATCTTTCTCATGTCTGCTGTTTTGTTTCTTTCCCTTTGCACACACTGAAATATTCCTAAATCTCCCCAAATTTATTTTATTTTCAAGCAAGCAGATAAGATATGCTTTACTTTCAAGAAAATCACATGCAAACTTCTGCAGAAAGAATACATAGTAATATATACATTAATTTAACTCTAATGACTTATAACTTGGACCAGCTGCTGTGTCCTCCTTTGGCCCAAAGATACAATACACATATAGACCATGGTAGAGATGAATGTTGTGCAATGCAACTGCAGTGAATATGGCAGAAAATTGTGATACCTAGTTACAACCTTGATAATCTTGAGTGCCAGTAGTGCCCGCGTGAGGTGGCGAGAGAGAGCTGTCCACCCCCTGACTGTGCGGCCTGTGGGCGGGAATCGCCTCTGTGGTATACAGGCATAGGGATCGTTACTCCTTAGAAAAATTTCAGTGCCATAAATCTGAAAGCCCAATATGAGGAGCCAACATTCTGTGCTTTAATCCCAGGTTTGATTAACCGAGTAATCTTAATCTAAAATTTAAAGTGCATATCTAATCCCCATACTCCTGTAAATTGGTTTCTTATCACTTCATTGTGCATCTACAAACTACATTAAATAAAAAACAAATCAATAGTAAATATCATATTATGCACATAATCTAGCATTATTCTAATACAACTTATTTTTATATACATCTTTAGAACTGTCCAAGATACTGTGCATATTGTAGGCTATGCACCAAACACACTATATATACAATAGGATAAACTATTATTACATGTTGCAACTTAATTCTTCTCACATTTATGTATAGTTTTAGCTACACAAGATATTTAAAAAGTTAGTGATTTTAATACAATAACCATAAGGATTATATCCATAGTGTTTGAAAATCTGTTGAGCATTAAGTCATAAGTAATTACCTAAGTGTAGTTACAGCATATGTCTGAACTTGAAAATATTCTTTAATTAACCCTTCAACCCACGCATCACAGCCAAGGATGTTATCACAGATCCGCTTCCTCACGCCTCCAGTAAAGAGACGCAATCTTTGAAAAAATTTGTGGCCATTCCTGTGAGGGGCCTCAGTACCAAGACAGCAGCCATGAACACTAAATGCAGCAGCAGCAGCTCATAGCACCATCATGCAGCTCGTACCCATTATTTCACCATCAATGATGATGAAATAAATAACAGCAATTATTTATAATACTATTGACATAAAGACCTCTGACAGTGATAAGGACTATGTACAAGGTTCTGAGATTAGTGAACATTATGCAGGTGACAATGTTCACAGCACACAGCCGTGGTTTGTTGCATCTACGCATCGTGCAAAGGCACTTCGTGTTCCATTAGAAAATTAAAAATTAAAGCACCTATAAAGGCACAAAGTACCAAGCGTGAACAGGGATATTCCAAACTGGCTCCTCCCCAGGATCTGAAAGTTTTGAAAAATTAAGACTTCCCAGGTGGAATCATGATCCATACCAGATGCTGCCAGAGAATCAGAAAACAGTGGAACCTTGTAGGGAAATGTCAGCTCAACTACCTCCACCACCAAATGTGAAAGGGGCAGCCCCTGGAACAGCTCCAAACCAATGAATAAACCCCCACTCAAAGAAAACAGGAAGCTGGGAAAAGACTACATTCATCCAGCCTGACATCCATAAACACAAAATGGCTGCCCAGAGCTTCACACATAGACTTTAAACAGCAACATAGCTACATCATGCCCTGGAAAAAAAGTCAACCTGGGTTGACCCAGACAAGAAGGAATGCCAAAGCAACTAAACACACAGCACAGCTTGGTTGGACATCATTGCAGCTAGGTCAGGGGACACTGCAGCCCACCTGGCCAGAGCCACTGCAGCATGGTTGGCCAGGGCCAATGCTGATCTGCTAGGGCCAAGGACAGCTGCGGAGTGCTCGACTCTCCAGTCAACCTTTCAGGGCCTTGGTAAAATGATGAGGATCATGTCTGGCACATCACCATCCAGTGTTTGAACATGCAGGGCGACCGTACTATCTGGAGGTTATCTCGAGATGATTTCGGGGCTTAGCGTTCCCGCGGCCCAGTCCTCGACCAGGCCTCTTTTGTTACACATCACCAGGAAGAAGCCTGTAGCAGCTGTCTAACCCCTAGGTACCTATTTACTGCTAGGTAACAGGGGCATCAGGGTGAAGGAAACTCTGCCCAATTTTTTTCCTGCCTCCACCGTGGATCGAACCCGGAACCTCAGGACTACGAATCCGAAGTGCTGTCCATTCAGCTGTCAAGCTCCTGTGTACAGTACTAGGGTACTAGCAGCCATTTAATTTTTAACAGCAGTAAAGAGTAATTACTGTGTACATATATACTTACAGGCAAAGTGCATGTTATGTGCAATTATAAAAATTTAAGCTTATTTAGGCTTTCATATATGTATATTAGTATAAATAAGTACAAGATGTATATATATTTATACATGTACAGTATATCTATACACACACATTTTCAAAGTTACATATAATGAACACTACCTTTGACATTAATACAACCTCTTAGCATGGAAAACTAAAAGTGATTAACAAAGAAAATAAATAGACAAAGATATTCCCGTATGGCACCTCACCTCATTTCTACTGAAAACTCGACTTCTCCAGGCCATTACAGCTAAACCACAGGAGGTAAACTTTGTACTTGCATTTTTCTACTTCCTGGATGACAATTAACAATCTCAAAAGAAAACAATTTTCAGATAAATTGTGTGTGTGTGTAACAGAGATGGTACATTTTTACAGGTGTGCAGGGCAGGGATTAACTGATGAACAGCTTTTTTTTATGTCCAATGCATACCTAATTCCTAGAGTATTTTCTTACCTTGTATACATTTTTCTGATCCGGATTGTACAGTGCAAAGACGTGGCGACGCGACATGAAGCCTTGCTCTATGTCTTTGATCTTTAATCCATCAAGCATCAACATGTATTTCTTATCTCTCTCTTCCTCATCCTATAAAGATGTAAATTTTAATTACACATTCGCCAAATTTACAATTACCAATACTGTACAGGCACAGCCAAAATATTAAATATATGATAAGATGAACAACAATTTGAATTAGATTTGAATGTGAAGAAACAGGCGAGAGAGAACCGAGTACTATTCAGAAGGTAAAAAGACATCATAAGAGACTCCTTCAAAATTCCATACATGCATATGAAAACATAATTTATATAAAAAACACAATAAATGTGTGTGTGTGTGTGTGTGTGTAAAGTATGACAGATTGACATTCAACTGGGCGGCGAGTGGAGATGACAGGGGAGGGCGGCGAGTGGGGATGACGGGGGAGGGATGCGAGTGGAGATTGGGGGGGGGGCAGCAAGTGGAGATTGGGGGGGGGGCAGCAAGTGGAGATTGGGGGGGGGGAGCAAGTGGAGATTGGGGAGGGCAGCAAGTGGAGATTGGGGAGGGCAGCAAGTGGAGATTGGGGAGGGCAGCAAATGGAGATTGGGGGGGGGCAGCAAGTGGAGATTGGGGGGGGGGAAGCAAGTGGAGATGGGGGGGGGGGGGGCAGCAAGTGGAGATGGGGGAGGGGGGCAGCAAGTGGAGATGGGGGAGGGGGGCAGCAAGTGGAGATGGGGGAGGGGGGCAGCAAGTGGAGATGGGGGGGGCAGCAAGTGGAGATGGGGGTGGGGGCAGCAAGTGGAGATGGGGGAGGGGGGCAGCAAGTGGAGATGGGGTGGGGGGAGGGGTGAATACCAGTTCTCTCTCATTTTACCATTAACTGTTATGCATTTACTTCTTGGATTATAGTAAGGAATTGCCACCTTTCCATCACCTAACCTTATCTTGAATAGCACAAACATGGGATCGGACAGACTTCTAAATATTCACCTCGCTGCTCATTTATTATATATACTAGTACATACTAAAGCATACTTAACATTTTAATATAATATCAACATCTACCCGGTACGTATCATGTTAATTTACGTTCAGTAATTTAATCGTATATTAGTAATGCATGACACTAATTGTATAAATCTATCTAATGATACCAGGAATGAAAATTAGCACCTTTAAAATTATGCTCAACAAATTATTAACCTTATCAGCATTACCTTTAACCTGTTTCAGCACCTCTGTCTACTCCATTATCTCTTCCTAACTCATATTCAAACAACTTTGCACTTCCTTCCCTACACAACTCTTACTGAAATTTAGACTCACCTTATACCATGAAAGTGATTCAGATGTTAGGACAAACCAATAATCCCGTGAGCCACCCTTCATGAAGCCAAGATTAGATATTGACATGAATCCCTTGCGTATTACTTGATTCCCCAGTTTACGACCTGACTTGCTAGGATTCTCACTTGACTGCTGGGCACTAATAGTGTGCAAGGGTAAGAAAGACTGATTAGTAATTTCTATAAAGAAATCATATTAAACTAAATGTACAGTATTTAAATATACTGTATTATGCTTGAAAAATGTTGATTTTCCTCAATTTTCTTTACTGCATATTTTATCGTTGCTATTTCTTAAATGATAATTTAATAAAAAAAAATTGTATATAATATTTCACATTCAAAGAATTCACATGTATATCACTTTTATATGAATCTGAACAAAAATACAAGAACATATTTGGCATTATAATTAAAATACAGTACTGTGTCAAGATTTGCAAATTATTTTTTAACAACTAATATTAAATGCAGAAGTATGAACATATAAAACACAGTGCATTCATTTCTTTGAATGTGTCAAATTATTTACTAGATAATAACTACCAAAAATTCTATAATCAGAACATACATGTCCTGCATATATATATATATAAAACTGAAAACTATCTTTATTAAATAAATACATGGTAAGTGATAAAATAAAGTAATACTGTGCAATAATCTGCTATGACTAACAAATTTCAGGACAATATCAACATACTATGCAATCCACATTCCAGAGCTTTGGTGTTACTTCACAATCACATTACCAAAAAGAACGGAGAATGAAAGTCATGCGTATTGCAATAATCCAACCGATTAGCATAATTTGGTAAGATTTTGACTATTTCTACAAATACTTATTACGTATAAAGCCAAAAACATCTATGGGTATGAGACAAAAAAAATTACACTTTTAATTTCATACTAATACTGTACAATATAAGGATATGACAATAGGCAACTCCAAAGCAAGTCTGTAGTGAAGTGATAGTTATGATTACAGGAAAACCCTCTAACTATGCACAAACAAATATAAACTTCACTGCATTCTTAATAAACACCTTTACTACAATTAAGAATACACAGTATATTTTCTCAAAATATGGTTATTATTCCAAAATGTTAATAAAAGATTCACTTTCATTGCAGTTTCAACTTGCTAATGAGTCACACATTTCAGAACAAATAAATTAAAAAGCCAAAAGTAATAACAAAACAATATACTGCAATGTTAAACAACAAATTTCTTTGTAACCATGAAAATCTTGTATGTATCAATGTATCCCAAAATGTTTAATAGGAAACCATCATATGGGTGAAAGTAAGCTAGGCAGTGGTAATAGGTAAGTACTGTATCTTTTCAGTTTTATTAGTTAAAATCAACAAAGGTTCAATTAAAATACTGTATCAAGAGCCAGAATTTCAGTATACAAGCAAGGACTTGCAACTTCTACGAACTGGTGCTCAATGATGAAGTGGTTATAATGTGCTAATTTCATTAGTGAATTATTAAAGATTACAAAATTACAAAATATATAATACAAACTTTTGAGATGCCCTGCATTCATGAAACAAAGAGTGTATACGAGAATAAAACATTGTGGAAAATAAAGAACAAAACACTAAATAAAACACGCATGTGTCATTACTTAAAAATGACTAATATAAGTGCAACAACAGTGTTAACAAAAGCTATTAAGTTATAAGTGTGTATTGCATATTAAACGTATTTTAACACAAATATCTTATAAATGAAGTTATCATACCAGTATAAATTTGATTAAAATATTGAACTGAACTTTCATTATGCTACTGTCAGTAATCTAATGTTAATTAAAAAAAAAAAAAAAAACAGGTTTAGTAACCAGCATGAATGCTATTGACTTCAGTAAGCTGTTTACCAAGAAGTTTTGTTAATATCTGAGTACTTTTCTTAAGTTATAAATGGTGAACTAATTTGGCACTTTGAAGAATATTTGTATTATGCTAATATAAAATGCTTTCTCTGACTTCATATACCCTCCTGCCATATTTCCTTATTACAGTTTGAACAAATAAATATACTTCCTACTGTATATCTATATATATATGCTGCCTCTATATTGTTACCTATAACAGTATTTGCATTCATTCCCAATTCAACATAAAAATAAACAACTGTGCAACTCCATCCTACTTCTGTACTGCATTACAATGTAATTACTCATTGTCAACATTAAGAAGCCACCATAAAATAGCATTAATTATATATATATATATATATATATATATATACTGTGTGTGTGTATATATTATATACACACACATAAGCTAATGTAAGCAGCTTACTGTAATACTATAGTTATACAGGCATTCCTCTCATAGGTATTGTATCAGAACATGTAAAGAATGTTTTTCCCAAAAAGTTGTCCATCCAACAGACACTGTACATCAAAACTAATTTTTCCACCTAAATTGGTTTTAAATGGGGGTTTCATGTTCAGAAGGAGGGAATATGATTTATTGTACCAAATGGTGCACCACCATTTGGTACAGTAAACAACTTGCTGCTGTGCATTTACACAACAAATCTTACAATACAGTACTTCATATATTTATATCCATTTACTGTATTGGTTCATACATCTTTTAATTACACTATTGATAACAAGGAAATGATGTTTAATTAAATGATCACTGAATGTTCAAAGATTTTTACACAGAACTAGAACCCATTAAGTCCCACTGGTAGACTGACATTACATGATGTTTGCTACGTAACATCGGTTACACTCAACTACCGGTGCCCACTGGGAATACTTGCTGTACTATACACCATTCATATCACCCCACTCGACCCTTATGAATGATTAAAATATTCGTCTGCCATATTATATCTTCAGTTATTACTGTATACTCAAAACTGAGTTACTCACTTATTCAAAAACAATATTTACAATACCTGTATACAGTAATCATGTTTAGTGGCTCACATGGTATATATTTACATGCCTAATATGTGGCAGACTGATGTAGCAAGCCATGACTTGTTTCCTAATTTCAAACTTACCATAGAGTAAAACCCTCTTCAATATAAAAAGTGTTACTGTATAATGAGGGATGCCTGTATAATGTATAAATACTGTATATACTTTATTTGTATATACAAGCTGTATATTATATATAATATATACTGTATATCAATATATATGATAAATATAATAAAGCATTATACACGATATATTTTGTATTTCAAAATGTATTGCATAAATGCCATGATACAGCAATTATATAAAGAAGTCTACTCAAAAAAACTCTAGTAGTCATAGTTTACTTATTTCCTTTCATGTATATACCCATATGGTGTATTGCTTCTCAGACAAGTAGAGTATACCATTTCTGGGCTGGTGCCCCCTCAGTGGCTTCCCACTGCTTAAAGCATTGGAACCCCAGGATCATGCAATAAGAAAGGAGCCTGTGACTATCTCTGCCCACCGAGAGCAAGCACTATTTCAAATAGGACTTAATGCCCCCCCCCCTCACAAGGACAGGGAACAATTGGGGAACAAAGATTAACCCACCACCAAGGCAATTCCACTCAAAAATAAGGAAAGGTGCAAAGCTCAACCACCCCCTGAGAAATATTTGCAAAACACAGAACTATGAAAAAATGTGTAATAAGCAAATGATTCACTATCCAACACTTCCCATCACCAGCAGATGGAAGAATGAATCACTCATCACCAGTGAGGTGGCCACTTCACACACTTGCTTGTTACCCAACTATTGCAACACACACGGAAATGTGAACAAAAATATTATAGTATACAGTATGTATGTAAGTAGCTTCCTTTGAGAGTTGCATCCATACATTTAGGTTTCATGGTGCTTATATTTCATAAGCATGTATGCTGATTAAATCTTATGTGTGTAGTTTTTGTTTAAAGGCTCCCATGCATTTTGCCACTAGTGGAGACCATTAACCATCTGAGTTAAACTACTTCCAAGATTTTCAAGTTCCTCCTTAGGGTGGACTGCTCTACAGTTTAGCCCTGCTTTGGGTAACATTTTAGAACTTTGTTGTAAAAGACAAGCCTGTTGAGGGGAGTGACGATGGAAAGTGAGGTCTAGCTTTTTATGCCCAGCCTCCTAGCCACTTATACCTAACGGGCTTATTATACCTCTCTAGATCAACATTTTCATAATAATTTTGTTTTAGAGTTGTGGGTGGAATTGGCTTCAACTTTTTTCTGTGATGCATTCCACTTGTCAACCACCTGTACAGGGAACAAGAACTCTCTTGCATCTCTTCTACTTCACTGCATGTCCAGCTTCTATCGACATCCCTTTTTCCTACCTCATTTGAATATAAATAGGCTTCCTTTATCTACTTTTTCTATTCCCCCTCTAAATTTTGGATATAGTTATCACATCCATTTTGTTTCCCCTCTCCTTTAAGGGTGTGAGGCCGAGTTGTCTCACCTGACCTCATAGCCGAGTCTTCTTAATTCTGGTACTAATTTAGTCGCAAATCTCTGAACTTTCTCAAGTTTCAGTTTATGCTTCACAAGGTGTGGTTTTACCTGGATTGTTCTTGGATGGGGTTCTAATCCCCAAGCCCAACCTAGGGCCAAGCTTTACTTGTGAGAGCTTGATCCAACATGCTGTTGCTTGGAGTGGCCTGCAGGTCCACATATCCACTACAGCCTGGTTGGTTCAGCACTTCTTGTAGAAAACTATCCAGCTTTTTTCTGAAGACTTCCAATTTTGTTCTAGCAATATTTCTTATATTTATTGGGAAGATACTGAGCAACTATGGACCTCTGATATTCAAACAGTGCTCTAATTGTGTCTATGGCACCTCAACTCTCTACTGGCTCTCTTCAGCATTTCCTTCCATATCATTCACTCAGTATGTTATTTTACTTTGCAAATTAGGGACCTGGCCCTCCAGTATTTTCCATGTATATTGCCAGGTGCTGCATACTCTAGTAATGCTCCCATGCAGGCAGTGTATATAGACTTCAAAGCCTCCTCCTTGAGATCTTGAGATGATTTCGGGGCTTTTTAGTGTCCCCGCGGCCCGGTCCTCGACCAGGCCTTCCTTGTTTAGATTCTTAAACGAGTTCTTATGTTTGCTAACTTCCTATATGCTGTTGGTGTTATCCTGTTCACT